CCCCCTCTTCGACCATGTCCGATAATTACAGAGTTTCTAAAATTCCCGGAACCGAGGTGTTTGAAACTGCTTGGGAAAATAAACCACCGGCGATCGACGACGCGCTCCTAGATGGATATCTCATGCATGTGTTTATCGGCCGTCTCGATATCCATTAAAGCAGACGCAGGCGGGAAACGAGCCGTGAACTTGGTAATTGCGAGTTGAACGACGCACGCTCAAAGTCGAGCGAGGATATCGACTAGCTCTCTACGATGCGCCAGCACGTGATGTCGTAATCTGTTCGCCGACCTTAATACCGTTGCCTTAAACACGCTGCGGACGACTCGACAGTTATGAAAACAGGGAACGTTGGTCCCAGGAGAAACGGATGAACGCATCTCGTCGAGGGATAGCACGGCTGCGATCAGGCGATCATTCAGATGTCGTCGTTTTGTTTACCGAGCTCTCTGTCCATCTAGCAATTCCCATCCAGTAACTTCCGTTGATTACACCCTTCTCCCTGCTTCCCCCCCCTCTCTCTCTCTCTCTCTTTCTCTTTTTCTCTCTCTCACACGGCGCTTGTAACGAGAATTCCTCAGAAAACTGCATAGTCACGGAGGACGTTGAAATTATCGATCAAGTGGATTCGCGCTGCCGCGAGTACGATTACGGTAGAGCATGAAGATTGTAAACTAGGTCAGAACAGCGGCATCGCGAAGTTCGCCAGTGATTATTCGGGACCGGGGCGACGAGCATGGACGCAAGACCTGTCGTGAGGATTGCCTCGCGACATGGTAATAAATCATGCAGCTGCAATGACGTTACATGAAATATGCAACGCCGAAGATACGCGTACAAGATTGCTCAGAATGAGCGGAGACGCAGAGGGATGAAAGGCAGGTAGATTATTGCTTCACAATTATGCATGTCGGACATGTCGATAGCCGAGCTCACCGCTGACAATTCTCTGCGTGCCTTCCATCCCCTTCCCTCTGCTGATTGTGGTAGTGTAGTCTATCTACTCTTCTTTGAAAATACGCCCGACGCCGTTACCCTCGATTAACCGTAACAAATCGTAATTACAATGCGGTTCGGCACTTACTTTCATCATGTAATAGCCATAAACTCAGCATGTGCTCAAATTAACGTCGATTGTGTGTGTGTGTGAAAGAGAAAGAGAGAGAGAGAACGCTCCACTAATAGTTATTTAGGATTATTATGAGCGTCATATTCGACACCTTCCAAGCTAGATATTGTTGGATCTAGCCGGACCATAACTGTAAAACCTAACTGCAGACGGTCATAGAAATAATTTAAGGCACGACAGCTGGCTTGTGTTGGACACCTACCTGGGTTGACATCGATTCTCGGTCATGACGTCTTTGATTTTGATTTACAATCGTCCTCTTAACACACAACACGACTGATCTATGAAACCGTTACCTACAAATTTCATTGGAACAACTAGTGTCGCATTTTCCTCTTCAAGTCCACGAGTTGGGGTATTGTGCCGTCGCAAAAATGCTGAAACTAGATAACTAGATCTTCGTATCTGGATGACGAAATCAGTTTTCTCGGGAGCTATTAAAGATGCAACGCACGTACCTCCTTAATGAAGAAATGCGTGAGGTTTCACGCGTTGCCGGTGAAATCCGAAGTAACAGACAAACCCGATTATGGCAGACACGCAATTTTTTTTTACACGCCACGTGAGCTGCATCTTGTACGATTTCTAGCTCGCAGGATAACGACCTTGATATCGGTCCAAGACCGTGCAAATACCAGCGCTCGTTATTTGTCTGACTTACATATATTCAAACATGAAAATTCTGATTCCCCAAGCAGAAAAAACGATAACTTTTGCTCACTTGATATTTTGATTGAAAGACCAACGCAGTCGTAACGTTTCCCGTGAAGAAGACTCATCTTACCACTGTTTTCATTAGTATCTGTCATGCATTAGCAAGCTCATTGTACCTCACATATTTCTCTTGTCTAATCTCCGTCACTTTTACCGTTGCGAATATCTCGCGCGCATATATGAGCAACCGATCCAATCTTACCTACAATTCGACTTTAATTATATACGTAGCGTACGGCGCTCGGTATAAATTTAACGCGCGACGACGTCAGTTAGGTACCCGTGAAAACCAGGTGAGAGTCAGAGAACTTTGTTCTGGTCCTTGAAAGTTATTCCCGAATAATCATTAGTATCACATGTGAATCATTTCGGGAACTTTGACCGCTTGCGAGGCTGTTATTTTCCGTAAAACGGTAAACACGAATAAATTACCGTGTTCCGGCGTTCGTATTAACTCGCATTGCAATCACGATGTAGAAACAGCATGGGCTAATGTCGTCGACGATTGCAATTCTATGCAGGTTTAGAAAGGATTTTTAAGGCAAAATGAATTTACTAAGAATTCATTGAAACTCGCACTACATATAAATTGAAATATTATCTAACTACTTGCGCAATTAGAAAAAGATTTACCATTCGAGAGTTGAAATGTTTGAACTAAATTTAAGATTTCATATATATATATATATATATATATATTCTTTAGTGTTAACGTGTTGCTATTTCTAAATTCCGTTGTTAATTTCTTATAAACTAAAATCAAGGTTTTAATAACTATACTAAAAGAAATTATTCAATAAAAAATTAACAAACAGATATTTCCGATCAAAATACCGATGAATTTTTATATCCGGTCAAAATATTTGATTAAATTTATTAGAATACTTCCGATCATAATGGCATTTCATCAGATAAGCCAATCAAAAAATTATGAACCGATATTTCTCATCGGATATTTCCTGATTGGATACAAAAATTCATCAATATTTTGATCGAAAATATCCATTTGTTAATATCCATTTCTCATCGAATAATTTCTCTTAATGTACGATATCAAAGACTGATATTCCGACATTGTATACAAATCTCAATTGATCGTTTTGTTTGGAAAATATAGCAGTGGAAAGTTCTTAATTTATAATATCCAAAATATACATGTGTACATATATACATTTAAATATTTATATATCCTTTTCTAATATTTCTGCAATAATTAACTAATGTATAAATAAAGCATTAATAAGCATTAATAAGCATTAATAAGCATTAATAAGCATAAATAAGAAAAATGAAAAAATAATATTTTTCGTATTTGTAATATTTTGTGTTAAGCCAAATGATTTTATGTAATTAATCTAATATACAAATAATTAGATAAACGGTTTATAATCAGTTTTTAACGAAATAGGATGTTCATTTTTCGACTTAGTTTTAATCAGAAAATCCGTATAATTACCGAATACCGAAAAAGCCGATTAATCACTTTCAATCCGGTTAATCACAATATTCAAATAATCGAACGAAATCAATTAATCGTTAACAGTTTGATTTTTTAAAATGCATAAAAGAAAAAATAGATTGTCACTGTAAGACTCATAGCGTGTATACGAAGATAACATTGTCTTTCTTACACTGAGAGAAATTCCGATAAAAATTAACAAATGGATATTGCTAATCAAATTCCGATCAATTTTTATACCTGATCAAGATATACGATTAAATTTTATTGGATACTTTCGATCATAGTGGCATTTTATCAGATAAACCGATCAAAAAATTATGAACCAATATTTCTCATCGAATGTTTCCTAATCAAATACAAAAATTTATCAATATTTTAATCGGTAATATCCGTTGGTTATTTTTTCATCGGATAATTTCTCTCAGTATACCCTTTTCATATTTTCACCCTACTCTTTTCCTAATTGACCTCACTTTAAATCATGTAATAATAATGATCATAATTGCTGTAAACATTGAAATGACACTATTATAGTGTGATAATAATGATCACAGTCGCTATAAACATTGAAGCGATACTATGGTATTATTGAAATGATATTATGTGGAATAGAATTAAAACTGTTTAATTAAATTTTTAATTAATAGTGTTAATAAAAATTAAAGTTTTATTTCTTAATTGAGACAATTTAATTGAGCAATTATTCTAGTCCGTCATCATATTCCATATCATATCATATTCTACTTCAAAGTCAACTCATGAGAGGTTGCAAAAAAAGAGGTGAGATGACAATATCGATACGTGCAAGGAGTCTTATAAATAACACAATCAATTTTTCCGTTCTACACAGTAGAAGGATAAAACGATTGATGATTAATTGGAATGAATGATTAATTTGTTTGATCGGTTATCCGATTAACTAGGTTTTCTGATAAATTAAATTCAAAAAAATCGAACATTCGGTTTTAAACTGTTAAATAGGATATAAATCGATTAATATAATGGTTTATCAATTTTTACAAGCTCCAAACATTCACACCC